GTAGAGATAAGGTCTCGTCAAGTTGCCCAGGCGGGTCTCGAACCCGCGGGCTCAGGACATTAAATCTTTTTTGTCCTTTAGTTGGTGTTTCCTGCTTCCAATGATACAAGATGGCTCTCCCAGGAAAGGGACACCCTCAAAGCTCAGCTTCTCACAGGGGCCTTTGTATTTTCCAGAAGCATCTGGAGAGTGGGAGAATTGGCCCTCGTGGGAGAGAATGGGAAATGGTCTATCTTGTACTAAAAACAAACACTTACATATGACTATTTGGGGAATGGGTGCTATGCATTATGCCTAAATATTGGAATACTTTTTCTAGAACCAGGTTCTATTCCACTCCAGAATGGGAGCCCCATTCTGGCTGGGACTCCGAATTCCTCTCTGTAAGAGTCCCACAGGCCTGGGGTCAGAAAGAAGGAGCACAGGGAGGCTCAGCATAGTCTTCTGCACACTGGCTACCCAGGATCAGGAGGGCCACTCTGTGCTCTGTTCATCCTTATCGCTTAACCAGAGAGGACATCCCAAGGCAGGAGCTGACAGCACCTACAGGTGAGAAAGAAATGGGGTCCGTGAAGCTCCCAAGTTCAGTGACTGAAAACAATCCCATAGCCCCAGAGAAGAAGTTGCAACTCAGGTCAACTCAAGTCACCATGTTCACACTCTAGGTCTGCATAAGGCTCTTGATCATCTTGCTGTGAAATAGGTGAATAGGTGGGGCAGCGGATTTAGGGGCCAAGGAAGAGTCCCAGGTGAGGTGACCAACCATCCCATTTTGCCTGGGAAGGAGAGGTTTTCCAGGAAGCAGAACTTTGGGTTTTAAAGCCAGGAAATTCCCAGGCAAGCTTGGTGGAGTTGGTCACCCTAGCAAGGACCTGGTTCATTTAAGGACTCAAGCCTCATTCTGAATCATCAAAGTCCATGTCCTCACCAGGAGCATGTGACTGAATGACAACCGGCTCACTCTAGTTTTGCCCATTTCTCTCCAAGGAACTGGGTCCACAGGATCACGACCTTATATCATCCTTCCCCTTGCCCAAGCCCTGGTTCTCAGCTCTGTGTTGGCCTCTGCTCCTTCCTCCATAGACAGGGCAGAAAGAAGACCTGGGGAGGACAGCCCAATGTCCTACACTACCTCGGAGAAGGTACCACCCCTGCCTGCCCTACATTTTCCTTCAAACAATTGTATTTGCAAACAAAAAAGAAGGCCCAGAAATGCAGGACTTTACCAGACTCTCAAATAAATAAATAAATACATCTCAAGTGCATGTTTAAAAGTTGCAACTCTGAAAGGAATTAAGATTAGCAAACTGGAATCAAAAGACGGATTCTTTACCCAGAAAGCAACACATATTCTTTTCTACAGTTGTATTTCTTTGCTCAAGCATCCGGCCTTCCAGAGATACAAAATGGGAGAAGACCAGGGGCAAATGCTTAAGCGTGCTTATAGAATACCCTCCCTGTGCTGTGTGGTCCCAGCAGCCTTCTAACTATAGCAGAAAAACAACAGCTATGACTGACTGTCAAACCAGTAAAAATGATAAGAAGGGTAATTTTTTAATTTCAGCCCCAAACTATGCCTGGACCAAGGTATGCTGAAAATTCATCCACCTGGATTCAAATCCTGGTTCACTCGGGCCCAGTACTTAACCTTTTAAGCCTCAGAGTCCTCATCTGTAAAATGGCATTCGTATCTCATACAGGCATTCATCCTGAGGTCTTGTACACAGAAGGTGCTCAGCTGCTGTAACTATTTATCTTTCCCATGAGACACCTTCTTTAACCCCACAGAAATGTCCCACGTGATCACCAGGCTGCGCCTCGTGGCATCTCAAGGGAGCTGGAGCAGATGAGAAGATGGAAGTCCTGAGACAGTTGGCTGTGACCAGCCCAGGGTCACACAAGGAGAAACTTGAAATGAGGTCTCTGGATTCCCTGCCACGTGCTCTTTCTACTACAACTAGCTGTCAGTAACCCGTAGGACGTGAAAATATGGTCAAAAAGAAAACTGGAGGGGATTTTTGTTTTTGTTTTTGTTTTTTTTGAGTTGGAGTCTCACTCTGTCGCCCAGACTGGAGTGCAGTGGCCGCTCCCGGCCACCGCAGCCTCGACCTGCCGGGCTCCGGCGATCCTTCCGCCTCAGCCTTCCAAGTAACCGGAATTACGGGCATGCGCTACCATGCCCGGCTGATTTTTTGATTTATTGTAGAGATGAGGTCTCGCTACCCAGGTGTGTCTCGAACCCGTGGGCTCAGGCAATCCACTCACCTCAGCCCTCCAAAGGCACGGGATTACAGGCTGAGCCACCGAGCCCGGCTGCAAATTAACTTTCAAACCATGCTTTCTTTAAAATTCACAGAATTGTTTTGTGTATTTCATAATGTGATATGTATTTTTATAATTAGGAAGGAAAGAGAGGTATAAATACCTAAAAAATATATATCGTCTTCTCTGTGTGCAGCATAGGCAAGTAGCAGCCTTGCTGTCATTTTCTGATTGACAGAAAATCTGCCCCCGTCCTACAAAAGTTGGAGCAAAGAAATCTGAGGGTGGCGAGTATCAGTGTATCATTGAGAAGGGGATTTGATAGAGCTAAGAGCAGGAAGTATCTTATCTTTGGTATATATACTCACTGCGTACCTTTGGCAAGGAGCTTAACATCTCTGTGCCTGTTTATTTCTCAGCAAGGTTGGATAATATTGCTATCTACATTATTTGGGTTGTTGAGAGAATTAAATAAAATATGTAGTATACTTAGAACAGTGCTTGGTGTACACTAAGTACTCGGTAAAGCTTTGCTAATTGTAGAATGGTAGTGATAGTGGTACTAATAATAAGAGTAGACATTGTTCCTAGTATTGTTTATAAGTTTAATTGACTTAGTCATCACAAACAACACTATAAGATAGTTATTAGTTTCATCATCCCATATTGCACATGAGGAAACTGTGGCACATAGAGGTTAAATAACCTCCCAAAGTTACAAAGCTAATAATTGGTAGAGGTAAGACTCAAATCCAGGCAATCTGATTTTTTTTTTTTTTTGAGTCAGGGTTGAACTCTGTTGCCCAGGCTGGAGTGCAGTGGCACGATCATGGCTCACTGCAGCCTCAAACTGCTGGGCTCACATGATTCTTTCACTTTAGCCCTCCTGAGTAACGGGGACTACCAGCAACCACCACCACTCCTGGCTAATTTTTTATTTTATTTTATTGTAGAAACAAGGTCTTGCCATGTTGCCCAGGCTGTCTTGAACTCCTGGACTCAGGTAATACTTTCGCCTTGGTCTCCCAAAGTGCTGGAATTACAGGCATGAGCCACTGAGTCCAGCTTAAAGTCCTTTGACCACAATATACTAGTTACATTTCTAAACCTAAAAATCTAAAAGTTTTTTCAAAAGTAGGATTAAGAAAACCGAAGTTAGATTTCATGATTTAATATCTAGCATTTAGTTGTATCACTCATTTGCTGGCTCTTCTTTCACCTTTGCTCTAAATAGTACTATTAATAGGTGAGAGATAATACAGGTGAGAAGACAGAGTTACTGAGAAGTAAAATACCAAGACCTATGTGACACAACTAGAAATAGTGAAGCTATTATATGAACCCAGGCATTCTGCTGCCTCTCTAAATAGAGCACAACTTTTTATATGTATTAATTAGAAGATTATGTGTTGCTAATTTGAGTTTAGTTTTTTTGAAGGCGAGGCATAGTTCTTTGTTTTGTGATTGGTAAAGGCTAGCTGATTGGTCCACACAGCTATAATTCAAGCCACTACCTGATAGCAGTCCCTCATATGGCAGAAATAATGTCTGAGTCAGTAAAATAGTTTCTGATTTGGAAGCCTTATAAACTTGTACTTATAGGTAGTGATTTTAAATGTGTTAAAGATAAGGAGGTGGAGTTGATTACACTAAGCGTTTTCAAGTGGTTTTTTGTTTTTGTTTTTGTTTTTTGAGTTGGAATCTCACTCTGTTGCCTAGGCTAGAGTGCAGTGGCATGCTCATAGCCTCCACAGCCTGGACCTGCTGGGCTCAGGTGATCCTTCCACCTCAGCCTTCCAAGTAGCTGGAACCGCAGGCATGCACCGCTGCACCCAGCTAATTTTTTGATTTAATGTAGAGACGAGGGCTCGCCAAGTTGCCCAGGCTAATCTTGAACTCGTGGGCTCAGGCAGTCCTCTCACCTTCGCCTCCCAAAGTGCTGGGACTACAGGCGTGAGCCACCGCACCCAGCTATTTTCAAGTGTTTTACTAGAAACTTTGCATTATTGGGAATTTTGAATCATTTCAGTCACATTGTATCCACTCAGGGAAAAGTGTGGTGTCTGCTCTTTTATAAGATGTTGAAACTAAAAGTATGAAATAAAGGAATAGAGCCTTTACAGTCCTTTCACTATTTAAATTCCAGTTCTGTCCTTTATTGTGTGTTATTGGACAAACTATATTCCTGAGCCTTAGTTGCCCTAAACAAATAGGAATAATATTTAATTTAATTTGCAATATTGTTATCAGGATTTAGAAATAATGTATTTAAAGTGCCTGACACATAAATGGTTAACAAATAGTGACTATAGTTGATGATGTCAACATTCTCTAAACATATTGTTTTTTCTAAGAAAAACTGTAATTTTCATAAATCTCACATTTAAAAGTATCCATTATGCACAAGTACTATCAATTGGAGGAGTTAAAGTTAACTTAGAAAACATTTTTTTAAATGGCTTCCACTCATACCGGGATCAGCTGCCAACTAAGCAGTAGTAGAGGCTATATAATGCTTTATTGTTTATCGGCACCCGCTTTCAGCAACATTTAAGTGTAGGAACTAGGTAGGACCTGCATAATGTCTGCTCTTATTGGCTGCTTAAGTGATAGTTTAAGCTGAAAGTGATGAAGCAGAGAATCAGCCTATATATTTATACATTTTTTAAAGTGCTTTCGAATATATTTTTTGTTTTACCTTTTTCTTGTTTGTTTAAACTTGCACCAAACAAATCTAGGTTGGAAGAAGTGGCAATATCCCAGCTGGAACAACAGTTGATACAGATATTACACACCCGTATGAGTTTGATTTTTACCTCTGTAGCCATGCTGGAATACAGGTAAGCCTACACATTGAGTTAATTTTTTTTTAAGTCAGGTCTGACTGTGTCACCTAGGCTGGAGTGCAGTGGCACAATCTTGGCCTACTGCAGCCTGGACTTTCTGGGCTCAGGTGATCCTTCTTCCTCAGTCTCCCAAATAGCTGGAACTATAGGCAAGCATCACCATGTCCAGCTAAGTTTTTTAGAGGGTGGGTTGGGGGGTAGAGATGAGGTCTCACTATGTTGTCTGGGCTGGTCTTGAACTCCTGGGCTCAAGCAATCTTCTTGCCTCAAACTTCCCAAAGTGCAGTGATTATAAAGCATGAGCCACCATGCCCAGTCACACGTTTTAATTCAAGAACTTTAATTCTCTTTTTTTATTTTTTTCTTTTCTTTTTTGTTTATTTTAGAGACGGTGTCTTGCTCTGTTGCACAGGCTACGTAGTGATGTAATCATAGCTCACTGTAACCTCAAACACCTGGGCTCAAACAATCCTCCCATCTCAACCTCCCAAGTAGCTGGGATTACAGTCATTCACCACTGTACCCAGCTAATTTTTTTAACTTTTTGTAGAGACAGGGTCTCACTGTGTTTCCCAGACTGGTCTCTAACTCCTGGCCTCAATTAATCCTCCCACCTTGGCCTCCCAAAGCACTGGATTACAAATGTGAGCCAGCATGCTCAAACCAGAACTTTCATTCTTATGTGTATTTTTTAAATCTCAGAAAAAGGAGAAAGAAATACTCTTCTCTGCATTCCAAATTGTTTCCACATGAAATTAGATGAAACTTTCAGTAAGTAAATTTCTTCCCTTTTCTTACCTTGAGAGGTGCTTGGGGCTTATTTTTATGAAATTACCAGAATATATGTAGCTTAGTAGAATGAATCTCCCTAAAATGGACCCTTAATTTAACCTAAAACTTCAAAAAAATTTAAAGTACCTGATTGTTTCCTCTTTTTATTTTTATTTTTTTAAGGGGCTCAAGCAATCCCCCCATCTCAGTCTCCCAAGTAGCTGGGGCTACAGGCATATGCCACTGCACCCAGTTAATGATGATAGTATTTTTATGGAAAACTTTGACATTTACTGGTAGATATTGAGTATGTGAAATAGTTTTAATTTTAGAATTAAAGCTTTAAGTTTCATTTAAATAATTTTAAAAGCCTTATTCTTTTCAGAAAATCTTTTCATTAATTTGTTAGCTTTGCTTGGTAGAACATAAGCATTAATTCAGTGCTTCTCAATCTTTCCAACAATAGAAAACAAACCCATATTCCCAGGATATCTGAGAGTCTGAGAGGATATAGCCAGAAACTATTTTAGGTTACTTGCTATTGATTGAGGTAGAAATTTCAAGTTGTACCTTGCTGTACAGCTGTGTCTTACAGCTTTGTATATCCCACATACACATACACTAACCTGTTCTAGACTCATGGCTTTAAGTTATTTTCTCAGTCATTTATTCATATTTTTATATCCACTCCTCTTTACAATCAACAGTATACTTTTACAGGGTGGGTAGTTATAACCAATTAGCAAAAACATAGTTAATAGTGGGGTCAGAGGGTGATATCACCAAAATGGCTGACTAGAAGCTCCTAGTGCTTGTCTCCCTCATGTAGACAGCCAAAACAACAGATATACATCTACATCTTAATGAAAATAACTGAGGGAGAGCATCAGAGTGCATCAGAGGAGTAACAGAAAACCTGGTAAGCACAGACACTTGGAATGGCTACACAGAGAATGGGAGAAAATGCCTACCACCACTACCTCTTCTGGCACCTACCCACTCATGCTGCCTATGGACCTAGGGACTGACCTACCCAACCTGTCAAAGCCAAACTGCACCAGCAAGTGCAGCCTGGAAGCCCACAAGGTGTCCTGCTACTACTACTCTCATTGCCCACACCATGCATACTACTCAAGGGCCCAAGGATTCATCTGCCCGCCCAGCCCACTGCTGTTACTACTGACATCTTAGCAAGCTGCCTAGAGACCCAAGCATTGGCCCTCTTGGACCAGCTAACACCAATGCCTATATATGCTACCCAGGAGCCTAACAACAGGCATGCTCAGCTCCCTGCTGCCACAGCTGGGTCCTGTTGACTGGCATACCTGGCATCCTGTCCCTAGCAAAAACTCATCACAGCTTCCACTAACAACCATAGCCTAAACCACTGAGGAAATCAAAGATGTCACAGACGGTGTTTATAACCAAATAAATCATACAGCAACTACACTACTGCACATATCCAGAAATCAAGCTAAAGTTTCCTATACAACCAACACTGTAGATACATCTACAGAAAAAATTCTTCCCCATGAAAGCCAATCAGAAAAATTAAAAGAAATGACTATTACATGTGATGAACAGTTATCAACAAAAGGATGCAAGGAACGTGAAAAAGCAAAGAAATATGACACCTCCAAATGAAACATAATAATTCTCCAACAACAAACTCCAATGAAAAAGAAATTCATGAAATACCTGAACAAGAATTCAGAATGATGATATTAAGAAGGCTCAGTGAGGTACTAGAGAGCACTGTTAAACACTACAAATGAATCAGAAAAACAATTCAAAATATGAATGAGAAATACACCAAAGGGATATCATAAAAAAACAACCAAACAGAAATCCTGGAACTAAATAATTCAATAAATGAAATAAAAAATACAGTTGAGAGCTTTAGACTAGATCAAACATATTAGACTAGATCAAGCAGAAGAATTTGTGAATTTGAAGATAACTTTTCAAATAAGCCAATCAGACCAAAAAAAGAAAACCCATGTGACATATGGGACATCATAAAACAACCAAATATACAAATTTTGAGTGTCCAATAAGGTGAAGAAAAGTTCAATGGCATAGAAAATCTATTTATCAAAATAGTAACTGAGAACTTCTCAAGTGTAAGAAGAGATTTAGACATCCAGGAAACCCAGTGATTCACAAATAGATACAACCCAAAAAGATCTCCTCAGTACATTCTAGTCAAACTTTCAAAAGTCAAAGACAGAGTTCTAAAAACAGTAAAAGCAAGCATCTATCTAGTCACATAAGTGAACTCTTACGAGAAGAACAGCAGGTTTCTTAGCATAAACCTTACAGGCCAGGAGAGAATAGGATGATATATTCAAAGTACAAAAAGAAAAAACCTGTTTAATAAGAATACTATGCCCAGCGAAGTTATCCTTTATAAATGAAGGAGAAATGAAGACTTTCCCAGAAAAGCAAACATAAAGGAAATTCATCACCTTTGGAGCAGCTCTCAAGAAGTGCTTAAGGGAGTCCTACACCTGGAACAGAAAGAATGCTATCTGCCATCATAAAAACACATGAAAATGTAAAGCTAATCGGTAGATCAAACATACAAATGAGGATGAGAAAGGACTCAAACCACAAAGTTAAACAATAAGAAAGGGACAAAAGATCTAAAAAATAACCAGAAAACAATTAACAAAATGACAGTAATAAGTTCTCACATGCCAGTGGTAACGTGGAATGTAAATAGATTAAATTTTCTACTTGAAAGATACAGACTCCATAACTTTGAGAAATAAACTTCTGTTTTTTATTTAAAATATATATATAGACTGGCTGAATAGATAAGAAAAGTTGATCCAACTATATGCTGCCTACAAGACACTCTTTACCTATAAAGACACATATAGACTGAAAGTAAAGTGATAGGAAAAAATACTTCACATAAACAAACCAAAGTGAGCAGAAGAAAATATACTTGTATCAGATAAAACAGACTGTAAGTTAAAAAAAAAAAGAACATATGATAAAGTGATCAATTCAGCAAGAGGATATAACAAGCCGGGCTCGGTGGCTCAGCCTGTAATCCCGTGCTTTGGGAGGCTGAGGTGAGTGGATTACCTGAGCCCACAGGTTCAAGACCTGCCTGGGCAACTTGGCGAGACCCAATCTCTACAATAAATCAAAAAATTAGCCGGGCGTGGTAGCGCACGCCTGTAGTTCCAGCTACTTGGAAGGCTGAGGCGGAAGGATCACCAGAGCCCATCAGGTTGAGGCAGCAATGGCCAGGAGCATGCCACTGTACTCCAGTCTGGGCGACAGAATGAGACTCCAACTCAAAAAAAAAAAAAAAAAAAAGGATATAACAATTCTTACTATATATACACCAGACACCAGAGCACCCATATATACAAAGCAAATATTAGACCTAAAAGGAGAGACAGACTTCAATACAATAATAGTTAAGGACTTCAGCACTCCACTCTCAGCAGTAGATGGATCAACAAGAAATTTAAGATGTATTTTAGACCAAATGGACCTAACAGACGCTTGCAGAACATTGCATTCAATAGCTGCAGAATACACATTCTTCTCAACAGCACATAGAGCATTCTCCAGGATAGACCACATATTGTTTTGTCACTTTGACAAAACAAGCCTCAACAAATTTAGAAGAATTGAAATTATATCAAGTGTCTTTTATTTTCTGATGACAATGCAAAAAAACTAGAAACCATTAACAAGAGGAACTTTTTTTTCTTACTTATTTATTTATTTTTTGAGTTGGAGTAGAGATGAGGTCTCGCCAAGTTTCCCAGGTGGATCTCGAACCCACTGGCTCAGGCAGTTCACTCACCTCAGCCTCCCGAAGCACGAAATTACAGGCTGAGCCACCGAACCTGACTATTTATTTATTTTTGAGTTGGAGTCTCACTCTGTTGCCCAGGCTAGAGACCAGTGAGTGACATGCTCACAGCCATTGCAGCCTGGACCTGCTTAGGCGATCCTTCTGCCTCAGCCTTCCAAGTAGCTGGAACTACAGGTGCATGCCACCTCACCTAAAGCAATCCTCTCGCCTCAGCCTCCCAAAGTTCTGGGATTACAGGCTGAGCCACCGCGCCCAGCCAAGAGGAACTTTTTAAAATTATACAAATACATGGAAATTAAACAGCATGCTCCTGAACAACCAGTAAGAAATTAAGAAACCAATAAGTCAATGAAGAAATTAAGAGGGAAATTTCTTGAAA